TTTTTTTTTCTTTCATGCATTTGTTTCTAATGTATTTATAAGATTATTTCTTTGTTGCTTTGTATGTCTCTCCCCCACAATATAGCCCCTGCTTTCACTATATTTGATGTTGGTATAATTTGTGGAGGAGATGGGAAAAACAAGTCGTTTAAGGATACAGATGGACCTGTTGCAACAATGAGAAGTGCAAGTTGTCATGCAGAAAACTAACTTTACAATGTTGGTGCGGGGGGTGGGGGGGGTGGGGGTGTCCGGGAAGGGATGTAAAGGGTAAACAAAGGAGGAGGCTGCAATGCTTGATAAGAAATGTACACATTATCTTGCCCATGTAATTGTAACCCCTCTGTAGAGTATGTTCACAAAAAATTAAAATTAAAAAAATAAAAAAAACAGTAAGCATGTTGATAAAGAATATAATGCAGATTAGTTCCTGATACTCTTGATGCTATTATTGTATGACATTATCTCTAAGTTGTGAATGAAACTCACTATGAAGTTAACATTGCTTTACAGGCTGAAAAAAATGTGAAAACTCAGACTTACCTGACTTGGCATGTTTTCCTTTACACGGGTCCAAGTACCAGCTTTATATAAATACTGAGCCGGGCTAAGAAATTTTGCTCTGTATTCAGAATTCACCTTCCTAACAGAGAATTAAGAAAAAGTAAGATTTCAGTATATCTACTACCTAACACTATGCTGTGTTTCAGGTGAACACATACCCAAGCCTTTGATGCCTCCAGGGAGTGGCAGTCTTTTTAGGCTTGTTGGAGTCTTTTGATGCCATCTCTGCTTCTAATGTTACAGGATCATCCATTTTATTACTCTAAAATGGAAATGATTTAAGTTTTTGTGCTTAAAATATGTTATACATTAAAGAGAAAAACTAAGATATCATAACGGTAGGCTTGGATATTGTTTTAGAAGCAAACTAAAAGATAACAGAAATCACAATAAATCAACAACTAAGCTGTGAAACCAGTGTATCTTGTTAGTATAGGATTCAGCTTCATTTTTTAACAATAAAGATTTTTAAGTCCTTTACTAGAAAAGAAAGATTTAAAAAATACATCGGAACAAAATGTTACCACATATTGAACAGCATTTGTAGATGTGTCCTTGTTATTCTTAAAATTACATTTGGCATATTTCATATAGTTCTGATTAAGTTGCTATTTACTGATTAAATGCTTTGTCTCCCAAGAATGTCAGAGTTCTAAAAATCTTGTGTATATGTATGCGATCTTACTTTTAGCCATATAATCTGTACTTCTAGAAAACATAATGTATGATGTATGAACATTAGAAGAAATTCAAAAACACTATACTTCACCTTCTATAATTTACAATAATTTTAGACTAATACTCCAACTTAATAAGGACATAATTTTACACAGATATTAATTACTTGTATACACTGGGGTAAATGATTTGAACTATACCAGTTATATTTTTCTTATTAAAGTTTTGTCTTGATGCACATGTAATACATGTATGTGCGTCTAACTTGGATTAAATTGCTATCATTTGTTACACCCAGAGCTTGTATTACTGTAAGGCCAATCATCTGGTATCAGATGTAGAAGATTTACAGATGTACTTTAAGTATCCACCACACTAAGGGATAGCTAAGTATTCATAATCAGCTTTAATGATTCCCAAACCTGCCTCCCCCCAGCCTTGGTGTGCGTGTTATCCTATGGTCTCAGCACCTATCCAGTGCTCGACTCCTAACAAATACTCAATGAATGTCCGAGAAACAATAAACTAACAAATAAACTAATGAATTCATAAACTAGCAAATAAAATCATAGAGGGTAGTGACCAAAAAAACGTGTTTAGTCTGAAATCATGAGAATTTTGTTTAAAGGTTAAGAATGAGGGAATACCTTCTTCTCAGGGGATACTGTTTCAAGATTTCTGTTTTCTTTCAAATCATTTAATTTTGATTCTTTCACTGGAGACAAACCTTTAAAATTTCTTTTGTATTCAGTTTCGTGGACAATTGAGTTACCTTTGAGTTGTGGAACAAATTTGCTTTTATTGTAGAAAACCTTAAAATAAAAATTGGAGGGCTTTTGTTAGATAATACAGAACTTAGGTCTTCAACTGCTGTTAGAAATACATATATAATGAACTACAGGATACAAAAAAGCAAAATTATATATGATTGCAATTTCATTTCACATATCTAATTTCCAAAGGTCAAATTTCTACACTTTTTCCATTTTAAAGGTACATTTTATACATTTTAAAAGTACAATGGTTATAATCAAAATAGTATTCAAGTCAAAATAATAATAAACCATAAATAATAAACACCAGTTCTTCTCCTCTCATTCTGGTACTGGGGTAGGTAGAGTCGGCATAGACACAGACATTAGCCTTAGTGTTGGCTCTACAGTTTTCCTCTTGACATGAACTTTCTTCATGCAACAACAAGAAATTTTTAATATTTGGATCACCTGATATGTTCAACCTGTTTTTTTTCTTCTTCTTTGCTTATTTTTCGCTTCCTCATTTTAAACTATTTCTATTTAATATTTCACAAAACAGCTCCATTTTGTGGTATATTGCCATGGATTACAAGGAAAGAAAATAGGGAAGAGAAGGAGCTCAAGCAAAGTATACAATGTTGCTGCTCTATAATGCTGAATAGCACCCTTAATGCTGATCTTATCCAAATAATATACCTCTTTTAGCACAACATACTGTTCTGATGCTTTCTATGTTGGTGTAAGACATCCTTTTAAAGGGCAGGTGTCTGATGGAATAGAGATGAACTGCTCCATTACAGGTTTCCCACCAAGCAATGTCACAGCTTGTCACAGAGCTCTTTAAGCACACTCTGAAAAGGATATGCTTTGAACTTACAAAGAGCATTTGCTTCCAAAAGAAGTGCTTTGAAACCCACACTAATGAAAGCAATAAAATCACTAGCAAAAATTGCTAGTGATTTTATATTGTACTTCTGATCCAATAAAAATAACATTCTGTACAACGTTTTTGCTGACATGTAAATTTGTCAATAGGGCTTTGATTTGACTCAGCTCTAGCTGACAGGTCACTTGACAAAAGTGGAATTATCACAATTTTCAAATCCTAACTAATTTTTCAGGTACACTTATGATCAAGAGCAGATCTATGAGGCAGCAAAAGAAGTACTGAAGCCAGGCACCAGTGGCGGGCTGAGATCTAAAGATCACAGTTCGAAGCCAGCCTGAGCAGGAAAGTCTGTAAAATCTTTAATCTCCAATTAACCACCAGAAAACTGAAAGTGGCACTGTGGCTCAAAGTGGTAGAGTACTAGCCTTGAGCAAAAAGAGCTGAGAGACAGTACCTAGGCCCTGAATTCAAGTCCTATGACTGACCCCCCCACAAAAAAAGTATTGATCCTATTTACTAGATTAAAAGAGACCATATCCTATAAGATTATCACAATGAAACACACTTGTACTAATATTTGCTAATAAAAATAGTAAAAAAAAAAAAGGGGGCTGGGAAGGTGGCTCAGTGGTAGAGTGCTTGCCTTGCATGCCTGAGGCCCTGGGTTCAATTCCTCAGCACCACATAAGCAAAAAGAAAAAAAAAAAGAAGAAGAAGAAATGAAAGAAAGAAAAGAAACAAGAGTACACATTGTTTCTTCAGGCTACTAAAATGTTATATAGGGTTCAGTGACAAGTAAACAAAGCTGCCACAATTTAGAAGGATCAATGGTGTTACTATCTTTGTATAAGATGACTGGCATTTCTGTCTTGCTGAATCTCACATTCCTCTTGGTTTTTAGAGTTATTTAAAATATACAAGTAGATGAACTGCCTAAGAAAATAAATGTGAACATGTGTGACAGGGTGTGTATTTATAAAAATACAAAAAAACAAGAAAAATAAGACTGAGTTGCCACAGGCTCCTGGGAGATTGAAAATTAAGACATTTCCTACTTAGACCAGGAAGTATAGCTAGCAACACAGAAGAGCATTCAGAGCTTAGGAACTGTCTAAAGGACAGTAGTAGTGAACCAATCATAGCTCAGTATTAAAACTGTGCAAGGATATGATGAAACTTAGCATCACAGCTGGTTATAAGTACAGCTTCTGAGTTTTACAAATACAAACTTTCCTTTCTATTACTGTTCATCAGATACAAGAACTATATTATATATCTAGTGTTAACGTTTCACATTTTATATTTATTCAAGTAAATATCTAAAGCAATTATGCTATCCTTAAGAAACAGAAGACATGCAAAAATGTTAGTCAAGTAAACGTAACATTTTAGAATAAAACCATTTAATGATTTTTTTAATAAATAAAAAAATCTTTTTGACATGCAGAAACTTACCAGTTCCCCAAGTTTTCATTACCCTGTCTCATATTTAGTGTATGTGATGGATCTGGCCACAATGATCATCAGTAGCCTAGGACAGTATAATATTACTACTATAAATCATAGGTAACAGGATGATTTTAGCCACAGACTCATTCCCAGTTTTCTAGAACCTACCTCCAGGCCTACTGAAGTACCAGATTTCTTTCAGCTCTCAGTTCTACGTAAATCTACATTACTAGGTCAGATGAGGGAACTTAGAAATGTATTACATCCATCAAACTACCTGATTGGCTGCAAACACTGGAGTCGTCACTTTAGAGGTTTTCCAAACAAACTGTCTTTGATACTCAGAATTTCTCAAGGCATTATGAGAAGGAGAAACAGTCAACCCAGCTTTCTTACGTAGAAGTCTATCTACCTGTTAGGGGGGGAAAAAACACTCAAAGCCATTAGAGATTTCTACTCCAACTTTTGTTTCAAATTGGGCTAAAAACAAATCAAGAAAATACATAACATGAATCTACCTTTCTAACAAATTTTAAGTTTAGGTGCACCTTACAGTATTGCTAACTATATGCACATTGTTGTATAGCAAGTTTACTTCAACTTCTATATTCTCTCTTTTTTAAAACTCTTTAAAACTCTCAAGTGACTATTATGCATCCCAGAATAAGATAACATCCCTCAGTGTCTTGTGACCCATCATTCATTTATTATTAAAAACCCACAGCACCTGCCTTTGTCTAGCCATTGTTTCTGTGGCTCTTCCACCCCCTGCCCACCACACACACACACACATCACCTTCCTTGATTGCCCTGGGTCCCCTGACTTTCTCAACAAGCCACGGAAGCTCCTCTGGCACTCCCATATGCCTCTCTCAAGTTCCAGTCAGTGGAGGAAGTGAGAGTGGGAAGATGTGCAGTGGACTGGAGGCGTAAATATGGGAGGCAGTGAGATCTCCACACTGCCTCTGTGGCCCCTGCTTATGTTCTTGTGGGGATCTGCCACAAGCCAGCAGTGACACAAGAGAACAGGAGTGCAAAACCTTTGAGAGCCAGCCAGCACTCTCCGTCCTTTTGCATTTTTATCAAATGAGACGCTGTTTGTTTTCTCGCTGGTATACAATAAGAAAGTGAAATGGGAATGAATAGGAAGAAGTCAGCTCAGCACCTCTGCCAGAAGCAGTGGCCTACTCCCCTTCTGTCTGAACTTGATCTCTCCCTTAGGACTCCTGTGCTTCTCTAGGATGAATGAAATCCAGAGGCAGACTGCCCACCCAATGAAGGTATGTCTAATTCAACCAGAAAAAAACATGCATAGAATCATTCATAAAAACTAAAGTCAACAGCCTCCTATCAACTATCCCACAGATGATGACAGGAAAAGAACCATGGGGGAAGATAAATGAAAATTGTATTCTTGAAATGATGATGAAACCAATAAAAGAATTATATGCTTTTGAAAAGAACCAGAGAATACACTTACCCCATTTTCTACATTTTCTGAAGAAAGCTTAGCAGAATTGTCCGGTTCCACAGTTTTATTCACTGGGATATGGTTTGTTATTACACCTTCATTCTTTTCCACGACATCTGAAGTCCCCCCAGCTCTGGAGTCTGCAGAATGTGATCTGGTTCTCTTGGGAACCCTGGTGGCCTCTAATGAGAGAACTCCTTCCTGGTTCACAACTTCCTTTTGTTCTGCCTCTTGTGGGTTTGTTGATCCTGGGGCTTCAGGTTCTGGTGATACAACCGCATGGTTCTCTGAGATGGCTCCATTCCACTCAAGAGACTTTGAAATCTGTGGGTCATGGTAGGGGACTCTTCTTTTTGAAATAAAACTTGGCTCTTTCGTAATCCCTACAAAACATAATATACAAAAATAGCAGCTGTCTAAGCACAATGCTACAAAGATAACTTTTAATAACGCCTATAACTGGAAGAAATTTAAAATTTAGTTATGCACACACAACTTATAGGATTTTAAAACTAACAGAGAACTGAGCAGTTTTCAAGATTAATTTTGCTTTTAAGAAGTGCTCAAAGTTTGACCATAATAAAATTTTAAATTGGGTCACAATGTTCCATTTATCCTCTTCATACAAGTCACTGGAATAGCAACTGGCGGGCAAGCCAGGAGGACATGTTGCCTCCGTTTCTAATTACTTTCCTGTGCTACTTAACAAAACAATGGCGCTGGTCTGTCAAAATTTGGAACGTGTCACAATGCTTCTCTTATGCACAGCAGACCAAGATGAGAAAGAATGAGATGTCATTATGCTGGATCTTGGTTCTACTTTTGCCTTGATTTCCTGAGAATTATAATGAATGAACCCTTTTAACAAGAGCTAAGATACAATTTCTCTATATTTCTGTCTGGCAAGCAAATATCCAAACACTTAACCCTCCACTGAGGTAAGAGGAGCTCGGCAATGACAAGCACTGAGCTAATGCCCTAGTTTGGAGCCATTCTTTAAATAGAAGGTTGTCACAGAGTGATAAAGGAAGATTAAGACCAGAACAGAAGGAAAGGAAAAGTGGACAGAAAATCAGGCATGAGGTAAAACCCTAGCCTCTCTCATATATGCTCTAATGATGGAACTCAAAGTTCTCATCCTTACATCCATCCCCAGACCAGTTGGCTTCTTATTGGTGTACAAATGACTATGGTACACCGAGAGGGGCATAAATAAACTCCATAAGTGCCCTAGCTTGATGCTGAGTTGAGAGCTGCCTCTGCCATCTGCAATTCCATTTCCCACAACCCTTTCATAACTGCCTACTCGCACCATGCAAAACAACAGATATGCCTCTCAGCCACCCCCTAATGATGCACCACCCAACATCTTACAAAATCTCAGAGGCAATTCAAGAAAGCCTAATTCCTGAGGGAGACAATTTGACAGGAAAACAAAGACAGCCTAGAAGCTTCACATCATTTCTATCCACCTATTTTACCTATATTAAAATTCAAGTGCTAGAACATGAAATGTGCATATGCACATTTACTTTGAATCAAAGGATACAGCCAACTTACGTTGGCTGGTTTGTTTGCCAAGACAGACTGACTGACAATTACATGATGAACATTTTCATCAACTGAATAAACTAAGTTGGAATTCCAGTTTTTATAAAATGTATGTTACAGAATATCTCATATCCCAGAAAGTGTAATTGTTTAAACAAACAGGAAAATTAAATGTCTATTTTTAAATGATGGGGACAGGGGGTACCAGAATTTTCTGATACCTCTCCCACTGAACTCAGTGGCCTGTATGTGCTAGACAAGCACGCTACTATTCAACTACATCATCCTCAATGCTCTGAATTCTTTTAGGCAGTATGAAATTTAAAAAAAAATTGAAGATCACTGTCTTAGACTACTGCTTGAACACAGTGAGCAAAACAAAAGAGAAAAATTCTCAAGTGCTCTATCCTCTGGCTCTGAGCACCAGCAAATCCCCAGGGTAAGAATACACTATGTTAAGAGAATATACAGCCACTCCTAGGTAAAACTGCTGTTGTAACTTGTTAAGTTTCTACATCTGTTTCTGAGCATCTTAGAATTCTCACTCCAGCCTTTTCCCTTCCCTACAGTTCCCAATGACAGTCCTCCCCTAGATCATTCCTGTCTTTAAATGTATCTTCCAGAACGGCTTGGCTCTCATGGTCTCCCTTTAACCACTGTCCTCTCAACGCTATGGAGCCAAGGATGTGGTTAATCCATAGTCCAGTGTCGTCCTATAGATTTTTTTGTGGGCTATCGTCACTTAAGAGATTCAGCATTTGTGTGTGTGTGTGTGAAAATACTGTACAGAGGGGTTACAATTACATGGGCAAGATAATGAGTACATTTCTTATCAAGCATTGTAGCCTTCTCCTTTGTTTCCCCTTCCTATCTTCCCCCCCTCCCCCGTCCTCCCACCCAATCCTCTCCCCCGCCCCACCAAAGTTGTAAAGTTCGTTGAGATTCAGCATTCTTAAATAATTTCAGAGTAGTGATCCCAGCTGAAAGTGTCCCTGTGTGAGAAGCAGGGACACCCAAGTGGCCCTAGGCTAAACATCTGGATGCTGCAGAGGAATCCAAAAGAGCCACTGACTCCACTCTTCCCTGTTTCCAAAACTTAATCCCGAAACCTTGCCTTATTTTACTAACTTCCCAGATTTATCTTTTCTTGGCTTCAAACATCTAACACAATTATCAGTCACTCTCACACATGTCACCAACAGGGAACCACATGCTGACCTGTGTATATGTACCAAGCCTTTCATTAACATCTCATCTCATTCCTCCCAGAGATCCTGTGCAGTGGGCCTAGTTGCTAGGTCCCATGTAGAAAAACAAGTTCTATTTGACCAAGGCCATAAAGCTATTGTAGTTTCAAACTCAGATTTATTCATTCATTCAAAAATGAGTTTAACAAAGACTTTTAGGTATTGACAATATAAGATCTCAGAGATCTTATATTCTAGAGATGGAAAATTAAGCAAATTAAACAAGCAGGTACAGTAGTCTGTTTCTCTTATGCACTGGGAAATCTTGATCTAGGGCTCTAAATTCCCTGGGCTATGGAGAGGAAGCATAACAACATGACCTCTGAACCATAGGGTCTGAACAAAACTGATCTGATTTAAAATCATGATTACTGATTATAAACTTGGAGAGAACTACTTTTAAGCTTCCACCCTTCAAGACTGAGTGTTCTTCCCCCCAAGCTTGTCTCCTTTCAACTTTCAGGTGCCAGATCAAGTGTCATCAGTTCAGAAAAGCCTTTCCTGACCATTCAGTCTAAAGTGGATTCCATTATGGTAAAGGGAAGGGATAGTGGTAAATTTGTTCAAAGTATACTGTATGCATGTATAGAAATAGCATGACAAAAGGCACTCACATTGCAAAGGTATATTAATTCAAAAATAAATGTGTGTTCCCTCAAACTCCCCTTTACTGAATATTCTCTATCACACTTCCCTTAATATTTTATATACCACCAAAAATCTCCTTATCAACTTATTTATCGCTTCTACAGTTAAAGGTCTTTATCTGGTTCAAGACTGCAAGCCTAACAGCTGGAAATATTCTGGAACTACATTATATGCTCAATAAACACATTGAATCAATGGGACAACAAGGCCAACTAGATTTTGAATAAACCACTTTATAAATGAAGCCTAAGGCTTACTCAAATTTTAATGGCTATTCATTTGTTCAACTTACCTATTTGATCTGATCTAAGTCCAGCCAATGGGTACCTTCGCCCCACAGAAGGATTATAAGACTCTGCTAAATATGACTTTTTCCACAGGAAGTTTCTCTGGTATTCACTCAGCCCCTGTAATACAAAGTACAGTCTAAACACAGTGCTATTAATGAACATTTGTTTTAAAGCAGGCATCGGTAAAAATAACTCTGAATCTCCAGAGTCGAAAGATCCGAAGACTAGTAACTAAACACAGATGACTGTCTTAATCATAGCTAATGTTTACCCAGACCTGTGCTAAGCAGTTCAGGTGTTTTATCCTTTAATCCTGAAAACCACTTGGGACAGATTGCATCTGCCCCAATCTGGGGCTCAGAGAAGCTACCTTTCTGCTGGCAGTTCCCTGATATTTGGAATCCTTTCTTAGATTCCAAAGTGTGAGCTCACTGGATAATGTGAGAGCTTAAAGCCTCCTCATTACAGATTCTTCCTCAGTTCCCAGACATTATACTAGTCCCTTCGTTGTTTTAGTAAAGTCAACCAAAGACACCTCTCCGTCCTGTACTTAATAGAAGTCCTTACAAATCAGTTGGACCAGGCACTGGTGGTGGCTCTTCCCTATAATCCTAGCTACTGAGGAAGTTGAGATCTGAGGATCCCAGTTCAAAGACTGCCAGCCCTGGCAGGAAAAGCCCATGAGACTCTTATTTCCAATTATCTAGCAAAAAGTCAGAAGTGGAGCTGTGGCTCAAGTGGTAAAGCACTAGCCTTGACTGAAAAAGCTGAGACAACACCTAGGCTCTGAGTTCAAACCCAGCCACCTCCCTCCCCCAACAAAACAAAATCATCATCATCATCATCATCATCATCATCATCATCATCAGAGTTGGAAATCTATGGAACACTGCACTATCAGTCCCTATCAGCTACTTGGAACTTCCAACATTAAAAAAAAGGACATCTATGAAAAAAAAAAATGTTTATTACTCTAAGGGCCCATGTCTCAAAGCCGTGAAAAGACCTGTGCACTTTGAAGATTTAAAGGGCAGGGGTATATGCAAAGCTGTGGGATGGGCCACAGGTGTCCCCGTGGGCCTACCCTTCCTGTGACAAAGTGCCCTCCTCCCACATCCACTGCTGGGTGCCCCCAAATCAATCTCAAGCGCATCTGATTCTCCCCGCCCAGGCGACTGTGAAGGGAGGGTAAGCGGAGGAGCCAGGTGGCGGGGGACGACTCCCCGCTCCCCAGCACTGACACTGGCTGGGGTCGGCAG